TATGACTTATTCTAGCATGGTTATTACCCCCATATCAACTAGGAATGATGGTAAGTATATCTCGGAAGTTTGGGTAAATTAAGACATATCAAACGTTGCTCCCTCTTTTTCTCGTGGTGATGTTTTTGCCCAAACTATGATTGAAGTGGGTCTGTATGAGGATTGGGGTGTTCTTCCTCCAGATGAAGATCAAATGGTGTGTGGGTAGGCGTGCTATCTTATTTCATGGATTTTTGTTTTCCCTTGTTAGCTATAACATTTCTTTTAACAAGTTTGAAATTAATGTTTTGAATCATCTACTCCTTTCCCCCAGCAGCTCCATCCTTTAAGTTGCGTGTTCGTCAAGGTTTTTCAGCAGTGATGTGAATACAAAGGAAGTAAGCCGACAATAATGTTATTCTTCCACCTATTCAAAGTGCATAGTGGTTCCAAATCTGCAAATGGCTGGCTTGGTTTCGATGAGTCAAAGTTCTAAATATTTTGAGACCTACTCTGATAGTGTAAAGCATTTTAAGGACCACTTCTTCCTTGTGGTCCCTCTCTAGGAATCTTATTTTAAGATTTATCGAATGAATCTGACACTCCTTCTTCATGTACATATATCTTTCGCAAATATTTGACTCAAAGCCACTTCTTAACTGGAGTCGGGATGTACCGTTATCAAGAGGAAGATTTATCCGAGGAACAATTGTATTTTAAGGTCCAATTAGTATCCTTTTCTAGGAACATGGCTATGTAGGCGACATGGTTCCATCTTATCTAGCCTCTAAGACCCTACTAAAAAGGTGCATTCAAATTTGGTGGATTGTGCACGCCAAGTCCAAATATGAGAGGAAGAAAACTTTGGTAAACAACTTTAGTATTTTGTCTTTCATATTTCCTTCCTTTGTATTTTTTAATGTTTATGTGCTCTGCAAATGCACGAAGAGTGAAGATGTCATGCAGAGGTTGTGGAAAGAGATTTGAGTTGTTGTTGTTTTGGTTAGGATTCTGAGCACGCCCTCAGCCCGAGGAGTTGGAAAAGGCTTTGAAAGACTCATATGAGAGTTAAAAGAAGACTGAGGCCAACCTTAACAACATGTGTGAGGAGAATCTTTCTCTTTGTAAGGATAAGTCTAAAACCTTACAAGATAATTTCTCTGTGGTCGGGGGTGCTTTTGAGAATGTGCTTCAGCAGGTGGAATATTTGTATTAAATTGGTCCCATATTTCGGTCTCAGACGCGCCTTGGTTAAATTATTGAAGATGGGCAAATGGTTCTTCTATATGGCTATCAATTTCCTCTTTTTTTGTGTTGGCGAATTTGAGTCTGACGCGTGTAGGTCTTCTCGTGAAACGTACATATGAATATATTTTACTTTGTCTTATTTCTTGTTTAACTAGTACCTATTTTATTGTGTTGTTTTTGTTCCCGAACTTTATTTATTGGTTATATTGGACGTCTCTAGGGACCATGCTCGACCAAAGGTTGGTAACCCTTCCCATGCCCCTAAGTGTAAGCATGGTTTGAGATTGACGCATTGGTAGACCTACCTGGACCTCTAGAGTGGCTAGCTACCAAGAGAGGGATATGCTGGTTATTTACCATTTTTAGGCGTGTTCATTGTGATTTTGTATCTATGCGATGAGGTTTTGATCGCTTCATACGCCTTATGCGTTTATGACAGCTCCTAGAGTATGTGTGATGGAGTTTCAATCCTTCTGGTCGTACCCCAAAATCATTGTTACCTTTCATAATAAAAAGAGAAAAACAATTTAGTGAGAAATTCTTTCTTTTTTTCTTTAGTTATATTACATTACACATTCCATGTTTTTCTTTTACAATGAAAGAGGATTTGAAATATAAAATAACCATGTGGACTCGCCACCACTAGTTTTTCTATGGGGTTGATGCTGACTTCTTGCCTTCGAGTTAGCAACTCAGACTATGGTGCTTTATTGGTAGGAAGATGAATGAATATACACTTGAGCTTCTTAATCATCGAGACCACATTAATTTGCATGGTTGTAGCCTCACATTCCTTCTAATCCTATTGTAAAGCTTAATAAATCCTTTTAGCGCCTGTCAAATCAACACTGGCGGTGACTAGTTTATTGTAGATATTATGGTATTTTAGCTTAAAATGGATAGGGGAAGAAACTGCGTCCAACGTCTCCACAAAGGGTTAGCCTATGATATAATTTTAAATGCATTTGCATGGGACAACCAAGATTGTCCTATAAGAGTTGAAAACTGGGAAATGCTTCACATCCAGTCACCATGGGAGGTATCACTGGTCTAGTGGATGGTTTTTCTACATAGAATTATGGAGAAGAATCCACGAGTGACAAAAGTTGAGGAGTTCCTTGGATCGTCCCCAACTACACATGATTTGGTGGCGGAAAAACACAAGGAGTAGGTGTTTAGGTTTGGTCGTCTGTCCTTAGTAGAGGCGGAGGAAGATTTCCCGCTTCAGTAGTTATGACCTCTTGTCGTAAGGTGGCGGAACTAGCGGCTTTGGATGATGCCATTGGTAGATAACTTATGTGATAGGAATTCGACCATGAACTTGACAAGAATAATTTGGAGACGCATATTTATGCTTCGGTTGAAAGAGATATGGATCTCAGATGAGTAAAGTATGATAACCATATGAATCAAGAATGGATTCCCTCAAACACCGCCAATGTTCTATTTGAGAATGAAATTGTGATTGAAAAGGTTGAGTTGATTGATGTGTCATGGTAGAGCTTGGTTCTGATGCAGTGGAGCAAGAATGACTCACAAGTCAGTGGGAGAAGTGAATTGTGTGATATCAATGGGGAGTGAAATTCATACCTGAAAATGGCGTGTTCCTTCCCTTTAAATAATAGGTTTGTTATTAACTAAAGTGTGTGAGCGTAAGACGCGGACACCCGTTGGATGAATCTGGACGATGGGTATGTGTCTTTCAGATGAGGTGGTCAGGGGGTGCGTGATTATGATTTTTCCCGTTATTGTCTTGACTTGTTGTTTCCCCGTGTTGGGCCTTTATGCTTCTTTGGGCCCTTTTTGGTTGGCCAAGAACAATTTCATTTATAATGATGCAGTGTAAGGGTGTTCAAATTCAAACTAATCCAAAGAAAAATCAAAAACCCATCCAAATAAATCATTAAACCACAAAAAATCAAATATTTTTTGGATGTGTTTGGATTACCTTTTGCAAAAACCGCGTAGACCGGGTTAAATTTTAGATTAATTTTTCAAAATTGATTCAAATCGAACATAACAACATGCAAATATTTTAATACTTATCTATTTTTATTAGGTTAAGATATTACGTTAACTTATTATTCCATGATACTTAATTTTTTTTCAATATTATTGTTAGTTATATGGTTTTGTGATTGACTAAATTTTGGTAAAACATGATACTATATTGATGCTGAGCAAGATGTTGTAACATCTGCATCAACTGTCATGACAGTTCAGCTGTTATGAGTTCTCATCGAGATGTCGAAGACAAATGTCATGACATCCTGGACTGTGTACAGCAGGCGCTGCTATTGTATATCTCTTGACATATTTAATTTGATTTGATGAGATCCTTTTGGATATTCCTCAACATTATGCGCAAGTCAAGGAGAAGATTTAGGAACAATGTGCATATTTGGTTTGTTTTCTTAAAAAGGATTTTGGAGACTTTTTAGGAAGATTTAAAAATATTTGTTACTATTTTTATGAAAAGATCTTGCAGTTGTTTTGAAACGTGAAGATTTGATCTTTTTGAAGAGTCCAAGCCCATACTGCAAGCAATTATATATAAGGACTTGCTATGACATAAAATAGCAAGAATTCACAAGAAGAAATTGTGGGTTCAACATAAGGGTTTAGGGTTTTGAAAATCTTTCAAGTTCTTTGTGTTTGTGTTCTTTGTATGTCACTAATATATCTTTTGATGCATTGAGTTGACTGGTTTTTGCTTGTTCATCAAGCTATTATTGTCACCCATGAGCTTTTAAGTAAATGGTTGAGTATTGTTCTTAGTTAAGAGTCTTAACTAAGTATTGTGGATTAGAAGTGTAATCTTCTATTTTGATACTAGTTACTGGAATTGTATCTGGTTTGTTTATCACTGCGATGATTGGAAGTGAGAGGTTCTCATATCTAGAAGGTTCCTAGGTAGAAGTTGCATGGGGTAGTGATTAGAAGAAAAGTTCTAAACTTAGATTGTTTAGGCTTTTAACTAATACTGCATAGTAGATTTCCTTCCTGGTTTTGTAGCTCTCAGAGTAGGTGAGTTGCACCGAACTGAGTTAACAATTAATTTGTTATTAAAATTTATGCAATTTAATCTTTTTGCACAATCAAATATTTTTCTTGCTGCAGGTGATATTATAACATCTTTTCTGACATCGCATCTTGTGTTGAAACATCAATTTTAACATTTATTTTAAAAAATACTAGAATTTCAATTATTGATTAGTTTAATTTGTATATGTACTTTAGTATTTCATTTGCTTAAAACATAATAAATGGTTTTTAATTTTAATATATCATATATTATATATTACTTCAAACTTATTATTTTATAGTATTTATATAATATTATAATATTAATATTATTAAAAATATATAATTTATAATTTAGACATTCTAAAATCAATTCAAATTAAATGACATAAAATTAATTTAGATCATATCAAATTTTCTATAACTAATCATTTAAAATTAAATCGAACTATAAATAATTTTACTTTTAAATAGATGAATTTTTGTTTCAAAATTCATCTAAACCACACTAGTCAACTAATGCAAGATTTTTTTTTCACGCCACATATTGTTGGGCTATCTAAGATCATAGCATATTAAAAGTATAGATTAACTTTATCCAATAGAAGATTAATTTTAATCTATATACAACATATATTATGATTAACAAGACAAATTAATATTCAAATTCTAAAAGTTGTTCTTATTTCTATCAAGCTAATCTTTGGAGGGTAATATACATCTTTCAAATTTATTTTTCCTAATATTTTCTAAACTTGAGTTCTATGCAACTGTTCCAAATTGGAATAGTTGAGTCAAAATGAGTACTTTGTGGATTCTCTGCATAAGCAACATAGTAAGCACAAACACATGCTTGTACCCCTGCCAAACCCAATCTAACCTGCAAAATATAAATAATTAAATATACTTTCAACCCTAAAATAATATTAAAAAATAATTAATTTTACTTTCAATATAAATTTCTATAAAATTTCTTGGTTCTTACCATAAAGTATCCAATTAAGAATCCATAAATAGACACTTCAGTTGCATATTTCTTATACACCACAATACTCCAAATTCCACCCACCAAACTACTTATTGCACCCCCTACCACACCACTAAGAAAACAAAATGATCCAGTAAGATCCAAATCTACAAGTTGCACCAATCCAACCCTATTGAAAGTGTCCCATACATCACAAGAACTTTGCACAAACCCTTTATTATAAACACCAACATGCACAAAACCAAACCTATTTCCACACCTCACAAGAATTGAAGCAATTCCCATATAGCAACTAACAAAAGAAAACATGAACTCATCACTATCTCCTCCAATAAGACTCATTGACCTATTGTAACACTTCCAATTAAGTACTTCAATGTGTCATGAAAAGCAACACTTGTGTCCATTGTTTCTTCACCACAATCTAAATTCATATTCTTAACCCTAGAAATTGTTACTTGAATCACATTCTTGAGAAATTGCATAGTCCATCCTAGGCTCAATAGAATCAACAAAATGAACAATGATGTTAATTTTGTTTTGTTTTCAATTACTCTTGATCCTCCTATTCCAAACATGAGAAAAAAAGCAATAGAAAATTCCGATTAGGGTTGATGAAAAGACTATTCTCATGGTTTTGATAGGTAAATCAACTATAGAAGTTGATAAAATTTTGTTGGCATATTCAAGTCTACGATTGATCCAACAACCATAGAGAGATTGAATCAATGAAGAAATCAAAGCAATGACACCAAATGTAAGACTTATCGTAGTTTCGATGTAGACCAACATGATGGCCATTGCACATGTAAGAATAGGGCTAAGCCAAAATATTGTTTTGATGGCAATTTTAGGGTTCTTGAGAGTGATCCATTTCCATGTGAAACCAAAAACTCCAGCACATAATATTGAGGTTAAGAGGGGAGGGTACCATTTCATTGGGTGGAAATTAGGGTTTTGAGAGGGGGAGATGATAAGGTTATAGATTGTGAGAGAAATGATCAAAAGTGAAATTAAAAGCAAGTGGAGATAGAAAATAAACTTGAAGATTTTCCTCACAATGTTTTCTGTTAGTGTTTGATTTAGAAAGGTTGAATCTTGTGCCTGCACAAAAAAACACTAATTTGACATGACAATTTTTTTAAAATTAAATCCACTATACTCACTAAATTCATGTATATTCACACATTCAGACATTAATGATCATTCAATCAAAATCATATAGTTTACTAAAATACATATTTTAGTTTAAAATATCAAACATAAAAATCTTGATCGAACATTCACTAACCATTTGAATGTGCGAATGTGTGATTTATTGAGTGCACGAAAACTAGGCCACATGTCTTGTTTTCCTATTCTTGACATATAATCAAAGATGCAAAGAAAAGATATGATTCAAAATTGAAGAAGAAATAAAAGGTATGAGGAGAAAGAGAGAGATAGAAAACCTTGGTGGAGTTTGTGATGACATTGAAGGTCTTGAAGCTAGCCATGTTTGCTCTATTTTATTGCTAATTCAACTGAAAATTCCATGCACATAGTATCTTAGAACTTTGTTTGAAATTCTTGATCCTTTGTCAATGATGAAAATCAAGTCCAATTTCTTGTCAAATAATGCAAAATCAGTTCTCTGCCTTCACAGTTTCCTTTTTCCTATATAGTCTAAGCCACTTACTATATATATATAATTTAGACGATAGATTGATGTTTGTGATGGGTGAACAACAAAAAAATAAAATAAAAAGTCCTAAAGCAATGAGCTAATAGTCCAAATGGGATAGGGAAGGAGGTTAGTTAGTGAACAACTCAAACACTGTCTAAGTCCTAAAAGACATAAGTAACGTACACTCTTCATTTTAAGAATAAAATTAAGTATAAGGATCACTTAGTGATTAAATAAAGTTAGGATGTAGAGTCTCTTCCTAACAAACTCTATAGCTTATTTTTTATATGATATTTTCGAAGCACTGGTAAGGAGACTTATTTTGTAACACGAGACTAGGTACATGATTCATGATAAAGACAGCATGATGAACAACAAAAGACCAAATTTTTTTTAGGTAAATGATGTAGGACGTGTAAATGAAGATGAACTGACTTGGTTGGAAGTTGCAGAAGTCGAGGCTTGACTGAAGGTAGATTGCTGAAGAAGATTCACTAGTTTATTGAATTGTGCTTGAGTAATGGTGGCAGGTCCATGCTTCTCATCATGCTGTTGAACTGAAGCATGATCATCTTTCTTCCATATCAGTGGTAGTAGCATTGTTAGCAGATGTACAAAAACAATTATAATAAACAAAGATAAGACAATTTGTCCCGTTAAACCAACTCAATTGACAGATGTACAAAAATATATGAAACACAAATTCAAAATTTTTACTTATTTCACTTCATCCTTATTCTCTTACAACTATCCTTTTTCAAATCAAAATGAAACTTAATTATATTCCACTTCATCCTTATTAATCAAAGTCTTTGTACTTTGAAGCTTCAAATCCATATGTCACACCCTTCTTGTCATTGAACAAATTTTTTGACAGTACATATAATCTCATCATGCAACCATTTCTTGACAACATCTATTTTCTAACATGCCTAGCAAAACTGTCTACAATCAAAAGGAATACAAAACAAAACAAGTAACGTACAACCTTCATTTTAAGGATAAACACAAGTATAAGGACCACTTAGTCATTAAAATATAGAGTTCGGATGTAGAGTCTCCTTCTAACAAACTCTCATTTTTTACAATGATATTTTCTAAGGTTGCATGTTCAGGATTGTTAGACTAACTTCTTAGTTTTTTTTTGGTTCACCTTCTTTTGAAGTATAAGAGATTCCAATGGTCTCGAACATGTTATTATTTATTTAAGATGTGAATATTTCTCCAAACTCAAGATAGATGGTGGTGGGACTATTTTGAATAATAACTATAAAATTTTATTTAGCAGTATTTTCAAATATTTAAAGACATGAAACCATGAAACAACTTTTATTTGTTTGGGTTCTATATGAATAGTTGAAAACAAAATATTCAATTTTTCTTAATAATAAAATAGTTAATTTATAAGTATCAACAACTTGTTTACATTAGTACATTATGCGAAATTGAAATGACACCGGCTGAGATTAAAATTTGAACCATCAACTTATACACATATAACTTAACTAGCACATACTAGTTGAGATACCCCACCCACTTGAAATAAAATATATAGCGAATTGAGCTTTTCACCATTCTTTGCACTAAACCAACCTTTGAACCCCTTAAATTCATTGGGTAAAATGTGCCTCTTCCATCGAATTTGTCTTATTTTGCAAGCTAAACTTTTTGTCACAGATTCGTTGATCGGGTATTATTCACCCATCAAATTTAGTATAAGTGTATGCCCACAAGCTTTGGTTCCCTTGCTCCATGGTTATTGGCTTTTGGTTATTTCTTTTTCACTTTCTAATCACCAAACTTTTTATATTCAAATGGTTATTATTCTGTTTAGGAACCAAAATTGTTGATGGACTAATGAGATGGCCTCTCAGGGCAATGAAGCAAGTCTTTGATGCAGTAGCGTGAGTTGGACCTATAAGGTTAGAACTCCAATATTCAAGTTAGTTATTGAATCCAAAATAGGGTAAAGTGAATACAGTGAGAATCATACCTTAGGTTTGTGTGCCGTGATATACATATATAATGGGTGTATCTTCTCAAAGTGGCATTTGGATCATTCCTCTATTAGGCCTTGTGTGCGGCCAAGAACAGTTTCCCCCAAGGCTTGTCATGGCATAGAAAATGAGAAGCCTTTTTAGAAAATTGGGTTGAATACATTATCCAGGGATGGGGAAAAGCTTGAGATCCGACACGAGGAGCTTTGGAGACAGGTGAATTAAATGCTACTCTCATCATTGAGACATTTTACAAGACCTTTCTGACACGCGGCCCTAGATTTCTAGGCTAGGGCATGACGCATATCTCTAAGGTGCTTGAGTGTAATTAAGTGTCGTTTGTCTTTTGAAAGCGAATGCTAATTGTTTTTTTTCATCTTTCCATTTCATTTTTTAGACTGTTGATTTAATCGTGTTGTTTTACTATATAAAGGTCATCTCGACCTTTCAAGCAAACTTTTGCTCTTTTTGCAAGTTGAGACTTTCCTTTTTCCTTGCAAACTTTGACTTCTTCTCCTAAGCTTCGGTGACCTTTATTTTTGGCATCTTTCTTATATAATTGGATTATGTAATTCTTGATTTGTATTTGCCACCAAGATTCTTCTTTTAATGGCTTCTTCGATTCACTTCTTCTCTAGGTAGCATTCGTAGTCATCTTTTTTACATTTCACTACTTTCGCTTTTTCTCTTCGCAATGGCCAATGTAGGAAATGTACTTGCAAATGTGTTAAACATCCCTAGTGGGGAAGATTCTTCATCATCCACTAAAATAGAACACCGTGTTAAAAAAATGTTGACCAGAACACCATGTTAAATGTTGATCCTTTGGAGGTTAACCAACCTAACCCAAACCTCACATGCTTAGCGATAATTATGGGTCAAGTGAGGGTTCTATAAAATATGGTGATGAGCCCTCTAGGGCCTCTTCTGGTGAGAGTACTAATGAGCCTTCTGAAGTAGGTATATGGATGGAAAATAGTAGTCTCATTTTAAAGGGTGTAGATGTTGTCCCTTCTCTTTCTGTCAGCCTATTGTAGATTCAGATCCTATTACAATTGCTCACAATGAGTGGAGGATTAATAACTTCATTAAGACCTTTAGAGAGACACATGGTCAGGACCCTAGTGATATACATATTAGGGATCAAAATAACTTTTGATGCCATTATCAATTTCATGACATACATTATATTTTTCATGACATATAGCTTTAGGTGAAATACTTTTCTATTTCTCTTTGTGACATGAGGGTTTTTCTTAAAAGGGGTGCCTCTATCACTTAAAGAACTATAACTAGTACAAGATAATGAAATAACATGAGTTAGTTGTCCTTTGAGAGTTTCAATTTTAAGTTTTAAAGTTAGATAAGTAACACACTATACTTTTTCTATATTTTCAACTAAAGTTTCAGAAACATTAAAACGCTTAACAACTAGAGATGTATTCGCTTCCTTGAAGGAATCCAAAGTGCTATTAAGATCATTTATCTCCTTTTCAAGTTTTAAAGTCATTTATTTTTTGGAGAGAAATTTTCTTAAAAGAATTTATAGAATCTGCATACATATCATTAAACACTTTCGACAATTCACTATATGAATATTTATCACCAGGATCAAAAGTATATACCTGTGAGCTTTCACATTTCTTATATGCCATCAAACATAGGTTGGCTCACTCGTCATATGAACTTGAGAAAGAATCAAAGGAGGATCTCTCATCCTCTTCTTCCCATGCGATATAGGCCCTACGACCTTTGGCGCACTTTCCTTTTGTCTTGTAGACTTCCTTATCTTTCTTTTTATGATGTTTGGTGAGTATTTTTGAAATTTACCAAACCTTTGTCGGAATGCTTGAGCTTGTTTCTCTTCAAGTATCTTGTGTAGCGCCTGACGAATAAACCCATATCTTCTTTTTTAGAAGCTTCTTCGAAAAAGTTATCACTTTCTTCCTTTGACTTCTTATCTTTAGATGACAAAGATTTTAAAGAAAGATCCATTTTATCTTATTTCCCTTTCTCTTTATTTTTCAACTTTACTTTTCTATTCTTGAGTTATTTCAGTTCATTTTTATGCTCAGATAGTTTCCTGGTGTTCGCAGTGATTTCTGGCGAAACAACCGCTAGTCTTCCAAACAAAATTTTATATGTATGGTTACTCGCAGGATCGACTAGATTGATCCTAGGACATTGTCTTAACGTTAATTGTAACACTTATTTGACGATTTATGTTAAACACGACGTAGTGCTTGTGCATGTATTTGTGTAAAGGCTTAAAATACAAAGACTTCTGGAATTAAATTCAAATGTAAAAGTTTGGACGAAACGCCTTAATCAAAAAAGGGTTTGAATGTAAATACTTGACAATGAAAAGACTTAAAACTAGAAAATGAAGCAATTCGACAGAACGTAAAGAAATTAAGGACAATTGTAGGATTATGTAAAAGAATGGTTCAGAAGAAATTATATTGATAAATGTATTTCAAAGATAAAATGTGTGAGGTCATACGTACATTCTCAATGAACTCTTTCTCTGTAACTTGGTACTTGAGTATTTTATGAGTAAATTTGTACGAATTATGATCCTCCTTTCTCCCTAACACTAAGGAACTATTTATAATGTTCTAACCATAACGGTATTATTCTAATGAAAAGCCACATCGCTTCTTTGCATGTCTTTCGACACTCTAAGGCTTCCACGCGTCCTTCTTATCCAACAAAACTATTTCGAATTTCAAACATTCCTGCTCAAGCCTTCAGCAACAACTTTCTCACGTGGCTGTCGAAACGCGCGCTTTTGAAAAAACAAAAACACTTGCCCTGTCAAACTGTCTTCTTCGACTCAGAACTGTCTTCTTCGACTCAGAACTGTCTTCTTCGACTATAGCTTTTTTCAAGCCATCTTGTGGAATTTTAAATGAATGATTCCTTTATTATCCTGGTCGAAATTCCCAGGTAACAAATTGCCCCCAATAAATGTCTGTTTCAAATATGTGCAGAAATAGGCATTTCTTGTGATTTACATTATTTCGACCAGCAAAGAGAATCTTTTAGTATTTTAATGATATTATCATGACATCTCTTCCCAAAAAACATCTCTTCAAGACGTGCGTGTAGCAGTTACAATGATGAATAACCATTCCCAATGTCAGGTGACTTGACAAACTTCTCACATTCTCCTTCAGGATGCGAACACGTGTCCTTTTGATGGACAATCACTCTTCACTATAAAAAGGTTTTTCTCCTTCCTCTCTATTACTTTTACAAACTTTTCTTATCCAAAACCCTTTCAGTTTCCGTAAAACCATTTCCTTTCCAGAAAAACTCAAAAAATCTCCAGAAAAAACCTAAAAGAATCTCAACAATTGCCTATGATAAACAGAAAATGAAAATGAAAATCAAAAACCCTGAAGCTTCTACAGGTTCAACTTCTCAATCCATTCCAACTAGCAAAATAATCACACATGAGAACAAGGAATTTATTACACCTGCGAAGCTGTCCAAAGAACAAAAAGCCATTTACGCTTCCCAGGTATTAATCTCCTCTTCGTTATCTGGTAAAAACCTAGGATTCCTAGGTCCTTTAGTTTCTACTGAACATTTGGAAGA